AATTTGATAAATGAATGAATTTTATATGGTTTTTGCTGCCGAATTACTAGAATACAATATTTCAAGGCAGATGACGCATCTATTCGATAATTTTTATTCGAATAGTTTTCAACGAATGTTTTTTTACTAGCTATCGAATTATTCGAATGAATTGCAACTATCGAATGTTTCGATAGTATTCATTCGATAGTTCCCACTACTACTGTTAATTATAAAAATTTAAGTTTTAATTTCTAGTAGTAAAAAATATAAAAGTATATTTAATATTGGGATAATAAAGAATAATCCCATATAAAAAAATTATTTTTGTTTCCTAAAACATTTTGATTAAAAGAAAATATATAGGGTGTCTGAGAAATAAGTGCAAATATTTTCACTGGTAGTGTAGTTCAACCTCAGAAACACGCCTATGAGGTTTTTTTCGCGAAAAAAAAAATTTTGAAAATTCGAATTTTTTTGAACATTTTTTTGGAAATTTTTTTAGTTTTTAGTTAAAAAACATAATTTCTTGAGAATATGGCAACATAGGTATTAGATTAAATTTACAATAAAGAAAATCCAGAAAAGATCCAGTGGTTCTCAAAATTTTAGCAAAAAATATTTTTATTTGGAAATTTTCACTTATAATATCACAAGAGCTTAATTATTGGACTTTTGAGGGCACGAATATTTTGAAAATTATCCCGAGTCGAAGACGAGGGATGATTTTCCTAAAATATCTGCACTTCGTGCCCGAAAGAAAACCCTCCAGGATTAATTTAAGCTTGCGTGGTATTCGGTAAGAAAATTTCACACCTAAATTTGAAAAAAAAATATTAATCCAACATGACATTTTAAAATAATTTCAATTTGTTAAGTTGGCCAAGGTATTGATGTTTTTGACATATTATGTGTTTTGTCATTTTTGTTTGCGATTCTGTCATTAAGTTATTACTAGTTTTAAAACGTCTGTACGTAGAGTAAGAAGTGTATAGCGAAATGTCGCGATTTGGAAAAGTAAACCAACAAGTCATTAAAGAAGAAATTGAAAATATAAAACCAGATAACACCCGAAATCAAAATCAAGTGTATATCCATCATATTTCGTTAAATAGAAAAATACCAGCTTTAGTTAAATAAAGGCGGCAGAACTATATTTTTTAGAACATGGCAATTTCGAAGAAATTCATATGTAGGTATATCTAACATATTTCCTTAAATAAAAAATATTACCAACCTTAGTTACATCAAATGCTAAAACTCAAATGGGTAATAGGTATTTCAATATATAGACATTGTAGTTCATTCACATTATGATTGTAGATCTTATGTTTACCTTTTCAACTGTCAAAAAATTTCCACTAAAGTTTCGTGGCGCCTCGAAAAAATTTCCGGAAATTTTTTCAGTTGCCATGGTAACTAGTCAACATTAAAGCATGTTATTGGTTGAAAAGTAGAGGTGTGAAATTTTCAAAGTAAAATAACTCCGTTATTTTCGACTTACTTGAAAAACGATAAAGAGAAAATATGTTTCTTTTATCGAGAACTACCACTCCTTAAAATATCTGCACTTATTTCTGGGACACCCTGTATATGAAAGTGGGCAACGCTGTGCCGGTCAATATCAATCACGTGACTAAAAGTTTATTTGGTTTGAACTGTAGTTTATGTATTTTACTTTGTAATATACTTTCTTTATATTATATAACAATAGACTGTATAAACTATACTATTGTTTTTTTATCAACCGAACCCGCCGCAATGATATCATAGACATTTTTAATATAAACTATATACCGGGTGCATCTCAAAAGTGGCTCATTTCTATAACTTTTTTATTTTTTCAGATAAAAAAACGACGATATTTGGTATGTTACTATATGACATAAATTACCGTTGATTGACGTATTCAATTGTTTTCGGTTACTTCCTGTTTCACCGGAAATGACTACAACTTTTGATTTTTAAATCGCAACTTCGGTATTTTTTTTTAATTTATTCGAAAGAAAATGACACTGAGTAGAATGACATATCATATGCCAACTTTTGACATTTTCGCATATGGTTCATTTGAAATTTTAAAATGCGGGCGTAACGACAATTGAACTCGAAATATCAAGTGGGTGGTACCAAATTATTCGTAAAAAATGCGTTTTCCAAATTGAGATATGATTAAAAATAGGGTTTGGGTATCTTTTAACCGGCCAGGAGAAGACACTAAAAACATTAGACGATCAAATCTATTTTTCCAAGGCTCCTTGATTAAAAATTAGTTTTTTTAACACAGCCATGGCACTCTAGATTGAAATTAAAAATACATTTTTTAATCCAGAATGTCAAAAATTGACATATGATAGGTCATTCCATTCAGAGTGTCATTTTCTATGGAATAAAGTAAAAAAATATCGAGGGTGCTCTTTAAAAAACAAAAGTTGTAGTAATTTCTGGTGAAACAGGAAGTGACCGAAAATAATCGAGTAAGACAATCAATCCTAATTTATGTCATATACTAACATACCAAATCTCGTTTTTATCTGAAAAAATAAAAAGTTATAGGAGTGAGCCACTTTTTAGACGCACCCGGTAATGGATCACCCCATATATTAGAAGTATTATTATATACCACATTTTTTTTATTCTGCCCTTTAATTTGAATAGTTTTATTTAAATTTGATAGAACATGATAAAGTAGTATATACGTAATGCCTCGTCTACACATAATTCTTTACCTGTCAGTCTTACCCGTTCAGACAAAACGCATCACGTAAAACCTTCTGTGTAGACGAAAAAGCGGTCTGTTTTACGACACGCTTTGTCTACACCGAAATAAATATAAGTAAATTTACATATGTAAGTTAATATGTATATATTACAGCATTCTTAATAAACGACTTTTGTAGTGAAACTTCTTTACGCTCGCTGGGAGTAAAAATTCAAGGTTGTGACACACGAGCTAGCGAGACGGCCGTGACACACGAGCTAGTGGTAACGATCGAACAAGTGATGTTTGTGAGCAGTGTATTGACAAGTAGTAGTGAGAAGTCCAAGTGTTTATTTCACCCGGATATTCATTTAACTGCGCATGCCCTACCTGAAGCAGTTTTCATTGGTCGGTGATTTTAAAGGGAAGCGGTTGACTGACATTTTACCTAACCTTCAATTTTATTTATATTTCTATTATTTATAACACATTATCATGAAGTTGGAAAAGTATAAAAAAATAGCTGAAAAACAATAAACTAAACAAAATGACTCTTTTACGCGCACAAATAAAAAGTAATCCAAACAGAACTAAAACAATAATCAATCGGAGTTTGGCGCAATCGCAGTTCAATCGATATCCGGGTGAGAGACTTATGCAGCGTTAATATGGAGCTGAGTTATGTTGTCTTTTTCTTACGGCACGGAAACAGCACACGGGGTTAAATAGGGAACACTGAGTATATTTAGTTATATGTATATGATCCGCTTATCTCCGGTTGTCTTAACCTACTTTCATTTGTTAAAAACGCCTCAAAACTACTTGTCAAATTGCGGAGAAGTGCGTGGAGGATTTTTTTGGCGACTCTCGGTTGTCTGCTGTTGGCTTCTATACCCGAGACAAAGGACTTTTTTTCATAAATCTCAGTCAAAATAAGTAAATCTAGACGTTTCTAAAATATCTACATATGTATCGTACGAACGAAAAAAAAACGGCGTCGAAGAAACCGGTGATAATTTTTGCGAGGTCAATCTCTAGACGTCAGTTGCTAAAAATTGACATAAAACTTTAAAAATTAACACTAATTTTAGAAAGATAAAAGGATAGAACGTTTCTAGACACAAAAATATATTTTTTTTCCATAGCAACTGTAGATTAAATGATACTTTAACAGCGAGGATAGGTTAAAAAGTTTATTTCTTCTCGCACGTTTTTTAATTGCTTCCATTTTTGAAAATGTTTGTATTCCTTTTCATAAGTTATTCGGGATTTAAATGGAATTAGTTTGGATATGGCGTTTGTCGCCTCAGCCTGAGTACCTGTTGGTAATTTACTTATTTCGTTTTGAGCCATTTCTGGCTCGAATTCAATAATTCAATCAGTAATCGACACGAAAGAGAATTAAAAAATTTTGACTCAAATCTGAAAATTAAAGAGACAGCTTTATTTATTTGTCAAATTACATAGAAACCAACGCCAACCCATCACAATATTTTTTCTACTCGTTATAAATTCCTGGAAATAACAATTTCTCAATATTTTTTAAAACGTAACTCGCCATGGAAAAAAATATTGTTTTATACACGACGGTATAACTGCATTATCGTCTCCCGAAATTTTTTCGTCTTGTATAATCGTCTTGTATAAAAAATAACTATTAAAAAATTCTTTTTTAAAAAATTTTAAACCATCTACACCATTTAAAAATCATTTTTACTCAATATAAAAATAAATTAAAACCCTCTTAAGGCCAACTCGCAGCAAGCGCCATTAAATAAAGACGGGGCCAAGTAATGACCTCTAGGGCTTGACCTCGCCAAAATTATCATCGATTGTCATTCCCCAGCCGTTTTTGACACTGTTTTTTTTTCGATCGTTTGTTTTATTATAAAATATGAGTGTTTGAAACTATCCCTGTAAATAATGCGCATCATTCCTAACATATCAACTCCAATTCATAACGGTGAAATAACTTTCTGATCTACATTTTACTCAAAGGATATTTTTTGCAGATACTCTGGGTGGTCACACATGTGTGAGATGTTTCAGAACGTACAAGCACAGGCACAATTTGCTGACGCACATGAAAACAGACTGCATCAACAAGAAAACGTCTTTCACTTGTGAATATTGCCAGAGGAAATTTATTGGGCAAGGATTCCTGCGCAGGCACCAGGCTTCTGCGTCCTGCAAGAAATATTCGCTATAAAACACAGTATTTTTATACAAGTTGTTTTGTAAATATGTGCAAAAATTTTAAGGGGTGCTAGATCAAGACTAAAGATATTTTAGTATTTTTCGTTTTTTGTCAAAAGTTGACAAGTGATATGCGATTCTATTCAGAGTCATTTTCTATCGAATAAAGTAAAAATATACCGAGGGTGCCATTTAAAATCAACAGTTGTAGTCATTTCTGGTAAAACAGTGTTACGGTTTAAAATTTCACCGTAACTTATTTTACTTATTTTGCTTATTTTTAGGAATAAAACTAAAACTTACTTGAATAACTTGAATAATAACGTTTAATTAGCTTACTTCTTAACTGTACATATAACTTCTAATAATATCTTATCTATTAAGTCTCTTCACCACAACAATTTCTTGGGATGGAGTTGTCTCCGATAACTGTAATATAAAACCTCATTAATAAAATATCAATTTGTCTGTTTAAAACCTACCTTTCTTTCTACAGTGGTTACTAATTCTTTATTTAGCCTTATGCTTGTGTTAGGATATTTTCTTGGCATATTTCTTCGGAGGATTCTTGAACATAGACTTGATGTTATTATCTTTTGTCTGTTTTCAACGCAACAAGTGGGAATGTTGGGTCTACAATATACATATGGGTTAAGGATTTTATTATGTATTTTTCCTGTGTGTAATCAATTGATTTTACCTGATTATAGTTGATTTTTCCCTAAATTTCATCTTGTTTATATTACGATTTACAGACTGACGTTTCAATTGTTTGTCAGCTGATCGTGTGACACCGGCGTTGAAGTTTGACAGATGGATCTTTGTAAATTAGGTTTTCAATCTTTGCAAACGGTTTTATATATGATCGGAAAATGTATTAATAATTTTCCGAAGATATTATGTTCATATAGGGATTATTATAATTTTATTATGATGTAATAAAATGTTTCACCCAATCCGTATGCGTTAAATAAAATTTTACATCGAATTTTATTTTGGGTCTTTTGTTTTACTGGTTGCCAGTGTTGGATTTTGGGTTGGTATCTTGGAGTCCAGCGTCTTTTGCGGATTTTGCAAACACGCGTCCTTTTTTTCGACTTTGAACCATCTTGGTGAAAGCAGGGGAAGCCTTCTGATCTCTGGCGAAAATAAAAGAAAGAAATTCTAGTGAAATTTTGGCTCAGTAGAATTACGGTCTTGGAATTCATTGAGGGTCGAGAAGACCGATTGGCAAGAAATTGAGCTTGGCCTGTGTAGTTGGAATTCGGGGGAAAACCTTGAAAAGGGATATCTTTGTTGGTTGGGTAAGAGACATTCTTAGGTGTAAGGTTCTCTTCTACCACTATTTATTTTAGAGGACAGGAGCTGTAGATAGGTGCGTGGACGTACTGGGATGAGTACGAGGACAGTTAAGGAACCCTTTTCCATGGAGTAACATGCGTTGAGACGCCATCTTGTCTTGGAAGGTCCGCATGGTGGAAAGGTATTTTACTATGTCCAAACTAGAACGTGTCACTAAAATAGATCACATTTTAGGGTTCTTGTTCCTTGGCTATTACTCCTTAGTGATGATTACGGTTTAGCTTAAGATTTTTATCAATTTTTTTTTTGTAGTGGATTTTTTTTTGTACTGATTTTTTGTACTGGAAGTGACCGCAAACAATTGAATACGTCAATCAATCCTAATTTATGTCATATACTAACATAATATCTAATCTCGTTTTTTTATCTATTTATTTAAAAGTTATAGAGGTGAGCTATTTTTGAGCTATTTTTACTCGGTATTTTAATTGTTATAATTACTACTGTTTCTTTTAAAACACATATAGATCGACGTGTTAGGTTTACATCATTTAGGCTGAATACAGAATTATATTTTACATGCTTTTTCCGAAATTGATATAAACCCAAGTCGACTTAAATTGTAGTCTTGACTATACCTACAATACCAATATATTATTTTAAGTTTGATAAAATTATATATTATATATTTATTTAATTTGTTTTGTAAGGGGGTACGGAAGATTGAACGATATTTAATAAATTTTAAATTATTTTTGTTGTTTCATTAGTAATTCTATTTTTTAATGTCAAAATTCGTCAAAAACTTTAAATTAACAGAAATACCTACGGTTTAAGGAGTGTTTTTAAGGTTTAGGTTAGTTTACTGTTCTTGTATTCTCCTGATTCTACTTGATTTTTCTGATTCAATGTTAATTAGCGTTGATTAATATTGTTGCGATGAATATAATCAGAATAAATAATTTAAAAAAAACTGAGTCCGACTTCAAATTATTTTAAATAATAATTAAATAGTTTTGTTGTTGTTTAGGTACGCAAAACAAAAAAAAAGTATAAAGTGTGTCTTTCAAAACCAAAATTAAAAAATGCAGGTCCGTATTTAAAAAAATTAAGTTGGCCTCTGTATCTCCCAAATTATCAGCTAATTTGAAAATCTAAAAATACTATCAGATAGTCCTAATAAAGTGGCTATGAGAATGTGCAATTAGTTTTTTGATTGTCTCAAAAGTAACGACAGGAAAAAATAAAATTGATTTTCAAAATAATCCGTTTTTTCCATAAAACTCAGCAATCCTTGAAACTTTTTTGATGGCATCTTGGTGAATATCACAAAGCGCAATTTTGTCCCAATTTAACCGTGTTTGTACACTGAAAAAAAGGATCTCTCAGTCGAAATGAATATGACTTTGACCCAAAAGATTGGCGCTTTTCAATAGGGCCAAGAACGACGTTTCTTTGCCCAAAGTATTAACTCTCTTTTCTTAAGCTTTAAAAAATTACTTTAGAGAATAAAAGAATCTATCTGTCCAAAGTATTTCACTCTTGACCCAAAATTAATATGCAAAGAAGTTCTTGCTACAAGAACAATAGTCTTTTTGATTCATGCAAAAAATCTTGATTGTAAAGGGACATTTCTTGATTAAAGAGACACTTTTCTTAAACCAATAGCGAATACCATTGACTCAACTAAAATTTATTTTGATCTAAGAGAAGCCTATACATCATACACAGGCATATTACGAGGTATATTATTTTCTGATAAATTTAGGTTTTCCTAGTCTGTGGTAAGTAAAGTGATATTATTTTCCTCGATAGTAGGTAGTTATTTCTGCTTCTTCACTCCTTGGTATTTTTTGGGGTGGTTCATCACTCTACAAATTACAAAAAAATGTTACATCACGATTAATCAAAGTAAAGCAAACAAATTATTAAAATTATAAGCTTTGGTCACATTTTGAATTTTTTAATACGACGACTTGAAATTTTAAAATTTTTGTAATTATTTGCATAAAAAAATCGATACCTATATTCTTATTCTATCTATAGTATAGGCATGCATTATCTAAACAGGTAATTAGGTAAATGTCTCTTACCTTCAAATAAAGCAAATAAATGCTCTAATTTCCATTTTTTCAGAAACTCCTTTAAAGAATCCATATATCCTAAAATTTGTCCATAAAAAATGACAAATACATGTTAATAACGATCACTAATTTATTATATGATATGCGTTTAAAAAGCAAATTATGCAAAATTCCAAGTGGAAAATTCCAAGCAACAAAACCAGTGCGTAATATGATGTGCGACATATCAAATGCGACGTGAGGCTGATCGGACTGCCGACTGATTGTTTATACCATCCTTCGTCATCGTCTTTCCGTGTCGTTTTTATTTTTCATCAAAAGAGTATTTAGCTACTGGAAAAATGGCCATGTTTCTTAAATGAAGTACTTCTTAGCGTATTTTTGTTATTATCTTAAAACAAAGTAACTTGCACTTGGTTGAATGAAAATAGATTCAAGAGAAATTTTCGAATTTTTCAAGAGAACCAGTTTTCTTGAGTTAAGAGAGTTTTTCTTCAGGCAAAATATTTTCTTTTACGCTAAAATAAATTCTCTTGCCACTATTTTTTTTTTTCAAGAACGATGACGACTTTAGTTCAAGTCTATCTTTTTTATCAGTGTATCTATTACGGTTACCGAGATACCGAGGGGTGTCTCACTTCGGTAAAAAATGTACGTGTACTGCCAAAATATCATTTTACCGCCAAGCGACTGCCAAGAAATACGAAGAAGACTGCCCATGACTGCCAGCGACTGCCAACGAAAATGTACATGTAATTCCAATAGTGAGACACCCCTCGCGAGATACCAATTCCCGTACCTTGAATTTGTAGCACCCTGTATATTAGCTATCACTGGGGAGAGAGAGGAACCCATCGGCAAACTGTCATTATGAGTATAAAACTTATCTTTACCGTTATCTTGAAAATAAAGTTGTAGCAGACAGCACCATCACTCCTTTAAGAGGCAGCGAAGTTCTTTCTGAAGAAGTTATGTTTGTCATTAATCAAAATCGTGCTAATAAAAAAAATAAAGACAATGGAAGTCCGAAATTCGTTTAGTTTCAATACCGAATCATCATGTAAAATCTCAGTGATAACATTAATAAAACTTAAACGGGAAATATTAAAGTTAATAGGGAACATTGATTCGATTTTCAGTAAAATCATCTTCTTCTTCTCCTTCGCACTGATTTAGCTTCTCTAAACTGCTGTTTAATGGTCACTTAGTATTCATTTTTCTAATATTTTTTTTTTCAAGGAAATAATTCAAATAATGTTGTTTTTGGATCATTCGTATTAGGTAGAACGAAAATTTAAATACATATATTTTAATATATCTTATTATTTCATATTTTCTTTTAGGTTTTAACTTTAGTGTAGACGCTGACGGGTTCTTCCAGTGCAATAAGTGTTGTAGGAGGTACAAAAGGAGGCACGGTGTGATACAGCACCAGAGGTACGAGTGTGGACAAGTGCCCAAATTTATGTGTAGAGTGTGTGGCAGAAGTTTCCACCACAATGCGTCGCTGAAGTACCACATTAAATATGTGCATTCAGTTATAAGTGAATAAATGATATAGAAGAGAGAATTGTCAAATTATGTGTATTTTTGTAGACTGGGTGTCTCATATGCCGGGTGTTGAGTGGCTGACCCCTATGGCTGACCTTTTTTTTATTTTATATATTCTGATAAAAAAACGAGATTTGGTAGGTTAGTATATGACATAAATTAGGATTGATTGACGTATTCAATTGTTTTCGGTCACTTCATGTTTCACCGGAAATGACTACAACTTTTGATTTTTAAATGGCACCCTCGGTATTTTTTTACTTTATTGGATAGAAAAAGACTCTCAGAACAGAATGATATAAAATATGTCAACTTTAGACATCTTCGCCTTAAAAAAATCGTATTTTAAATTTCAATCTAGAGTGCCGTGGCTGTGTTAAAAATACTAATTTTTAATCAAGGAGCCTTGGAAAAATAGATTTGATCGTCTAATGTTTTAGTGTCTTATCCTGGCCGATTAAAAAATGCCCAAATCGTATTTTTAATCGTGACTTAATTTTTTCAAATGGAAATAGTAGTATATTTGGAAAAAATGCTCAAAATGCTAGGAAAATATATGCTCAGTAGCATATTTG